ATTTAAAATAGTGTGTCACTTCCTTCTGGCCTCAAGAATTTCTGATAAATCAAGTAATTTGAATCGTTGTTCCCTTAAAACTAATGTGTCATTTTTATGTCACTGCTTTCAAGTTGACCACCTAAATAAAATCTATAATCTATGCTCTTCACCATAAGTGGAGAGTTTTTTGCTACAATTATTTCAAATCCTTTTCATGTACTGTGCCTTTTCTCCTTTTCTTCTGGGACTCTGCATAAATGTAGACTTGTCTCCTAAGTCCCAGAGAATCTGCTCATCCTTTTTTTCCCCCCTGATATTCAGATTAAATGATTTCTAATTCATCTTCAAGTTAAAAGAATCCTTCCTCTGTCATTTCTATTCTGCATTTGAACTCATGAAGTGAGGCTTATTCCAAGTATATTTTTTCAGTTCTAAACTTTTCATTCATTTCTTCTAGTTTTATGCTGAGACTTTTTACCTCTCCATATGTTTACACTTTGAGCATTTTTATAATACCTGTTTTAAAGTCTTTGTCAGATATTTCTAAGATCTGTGTTACCTGACATTGCCTTTTCTTTGCCTATGTCATTTTTCCCCTCTGATTTTTGTATACTTAGATATTTTGGATTTTCTTCTTGACTTCTGGAATATAATTTTGAGTCTAAATCTTACTTAAATTCTATAGAGATGCTGATGATTTTAGTAGGAGTTCAACCTGGTTGGGTTTAGGCCTAAAGTTACAAGTCTTGTAAGGATTTGTTTCAATTTTATGTTTTCAAACGTTTGCATTTTTGTTCCTATCTAGCCCATATGTATGCTGCCCAGGGGCCAATCTTGAACTTGAGTCATAGTCTATTTTGTAGCTTAGTTTTCAAAGTTTGAGACACAGGTTTATATTGAGGATCTCCCCTTTCTGATCCTCTGGCAAGAAAGTTGGCATTTTGTGTACTCTACTCTGCTGCATGTTTCCTGAGAAAGAATTCTCATGTCTGGGGCCAAGCAGTGTATAGAGAGAACAAAAGCATTAACTATGTTTGTAATTAAGAAAATATTTTTAGTTATAGATGTTACTTATGATCACATAACTTAAAAAATATGTACAAACTGAATTATAAATGTTTCCACATTCTATTATACATATTTCAAGACCATCAACACTAGTTATCATTTATCTCAAAATAAGATTATTGGGGAAACCTGGAAGTCTAAGCCAGATCCTTGGGGACAATCTGATGCTTCACAATCCGTCAATCTCTTGCCACCCACTTAAAGAAAAGGAAGGAAAATGACTGTACAGGGCAAAGACTTGCCTATCAATCTTATGGGGAAGGGGGAAAGGAGGTTTCAAAGAACATTACTTTCAAGCCATTGGTACCTAATGTTTCATTTTTAATAATTATTTAATAAGTAATTTCAAATTACCCTATTACATTTTAGGTTAGTCTTTAGCTGTTTTGAGAAATCATATAGAGATTAAGAACACATAAATTTGGTGCCAGATCTTCTAGACTATAAACCCAGGTTTTCCAATATGTTTGCAGCATGAACTTAAACATATTACTTAACCTATCTTGCCTCATTTTCAATATTAAGAGTTCAGCAAAGTTTTTGTGCAAAAGATCTGTACAGTAAACATTTTAGGCTTTATGGGCCATACACACTCTCTGATGCTCCTTCTCCTTTTTTAATACAATCCTTTACATATATGAAATCATGATTAGCTCAAAGACCATGCAAAAATAGGTTAACAGTTTGCTGACTCCTGATCCATATAAGACAGATAATAAGAGCATTTACCTTACAGGGTTGATATGATGATTAAATGAATTAATTGAATTAATATATGTAAGGTATTTACAAAGTAAAAATAGTAAAAATTATAAAGATATTTATCATTATTATATTTCTAAACAAATTTTATTTTAAGATAACTACTATTCCTGGATACCTTCTCATATTGCTTGGTGACTTGAAATTTGAAGAAGGAATTTGTCTTTCCTGATTTATTCCAAATGCCAGAAAGCTTGACATTCCTATATTGATGAAGCCCCTAAATGTGGCATTAAAACTAAGTGATCAAAACAAAGTAATGATTCTGAAGTAACCCTTACAAACCTGAGCAGAAACATCCATACTAAGATTCACTATAAAAATGCAATAACTATATTACCTAAAACATTCAATTAAACACAGAATAATTTCTCAGTCACTACAGTACTGCTCTCCAGTCAAAGTATACACACCTATTCATTTAGGTGAACTTCTAGAATCAGTCATTTATTTTTTAAACTCAGAAATGAGAGAATAATCAGAAAACAGAAAATATGCACAATGTCAACTGATGAATTTGCCTTAAGTATTAAAACAGACTGAATGTTTGTATTCTTCCAAATTTCCTATTTTGAAATCCCAACCTCAAATGTGATATTAGGAGGTAGGGCCTTTGGGAGGTAATTAGGTTATAGGGTGGAGTCACATAAGGATATAATAGAGTTAATGCCCTGATAAAAGGGACCCAAAGAGTTCTCTTGCCTTTTTCCACCACATGAGAAGAACTCTGTAATGGGAAGAGGGCTCTCACCAAGACTTTATAATGTTGGCACTCTGATCTCAGACTCCCAGCCTTCAGAATAGTGGGAAGTAAAATTTTCCCACTTTATCAGCCACCCAGTCCATGGTACTTTGTTATAGTAGCTGAAACTAAGACAAGTATTCTCAAGGATAACTGCATATAACACAACACTTGTGTGCCAAAATATTAAGGGGGAAAAAAACCTTAAAGTAATTAGAAGATAATCCATTAGTTTTAGTAGACAGTTTCTAAATAGAAAACAAATATATAAAACTCAGCCCTTTTGTTATTCATAAAACACAGGCTTAGTAAGGCCACATACAAATATTTAAATGTAAAACATTAAATATAAGGTTTGAACATTTTACAAGGTCTTATATTCAAATGCAGAGCTTAATGAACTAAACTTTATAATACAGTGGTGTCCAAACATGAAAAAAAAAAAAACTTGTTTCAGCTTTTATACGGTACGTTTTAGTTATATGCTAAATAGAAATGCAATAATTTTGGCTTGTACACACATCTGTATTGTTACTCAACTTACTTCTACAGAATTTCTACACAAAAATGTAGATCAGGAATAGATATTTGTAAACTATAACCTAGATCTTGGAGATCATAGAAATAAGAGTCAGTACTTTTCCTCCTTCTGAAAAAACACACATAACAGTTTCAGTTAACAGCTTGTAGAGAATTTACTTAGCATCAAAATAGCTTTGAGAATTATTTTTATCAAAGTCATTTACTCTCAGAGTTTAAAATATAAATAATATTAATAGTCTTAAAACAAAAAGGAAAAAAGTGAGGGTTGGGGAARTAGCTCAGTTGGTAGAGTGCTTGCCTAGCATGCACAAAGCCCTGGGTTCGATCCCCAGCACCACCAAACAAACAAAAGAAAAAAGTGAAAAACAGACAGTAGTCCCTGGCCTCTGACCTTCATAGTATGGCTCCATCCTGGTCTTCTCAGACATTTTAGTCATTTTTTGGGGCAGATAAATCTGTACTTCTAATACCTATGCTAATTCTCTTGACTCATCCCTCTTAAACAGATTGTGGGGTACTGAATTTCAGTAACACCATTTACTAGTTGTGACCTGCAGCAAGTTACATAACCACTTTAAGTTCTAGTTTCCTAATCCATATAACAAATAACAGAACTTAACCACATAAGGTTATTGTGAGGATTAAATAGTGTAAAATTCTGAATGTGTAATAATATCTGATTCTTGATTTTGTATTCCTATAGTGATAATTATTACTGTTGTTACTATTTTCTTTTTAATTATATATATATTATATAATTATACAATATAATATATATTTTAGTTGTCAATGGACACTTATTTTTATTTATTTGTATGTGGTGCTAAGAATCAAACCTAGCACCTTACAGTCTCACACATGCTAGGCAAATGTTCTACCACTGAGCACAAACCCCAGCCCATGTTACTATTGCTTATGGTAGGTGAGGATTTGAATGTCTTTTTCTATCCTGTAAATTAGTTATATCATTTTTTTTAAATCACATTGTTTTTTCATCATAATGTCTTTTCTATATTTGAGGCAACTCTAGATCAATGATCATTTTTATCCTTATCAAAAAATTTATGAGATGCTGGCAAAATGTTGGACCATTGGAATATTCTGAATAACTTTCAGTTTGACAAATATAAGATAGCTGGTATTTTTGGATTTTGAGAAACTGTATTATAGAACTTTTACTGTAGTTTTAAAGTTAGTAAGAATTCTGTTAAAAAAAATCACTATTGTGGTTACTAAAACCCATTGGTATTATTAACCCTCTGTATTTCTTTCTGTTTTTATCATTCTCATAGCTAAGGATATTTAAGATACTATACATTCCATTGTTTTTCTTTATATTTAATGTTTTCAGGATTGATACCACTGATTTATGAACTGTTTCTCAGTGATTAATTTAAAACAAAATCTTCTATTTATAGTTCACAGTTTAAGTGGTCTTTAAGTTGTGAAAAGTAACACAACTGGTGTGCTTGAGATGTCTAAAATTCCAAAGAACATTTATATAGCAGCTTACTTTCAAGTCTGTGTAGGCATATTTTAACAAGGTACTACTATAGTCATTTGGAGGCTGCTATTGTTTGTATCTCAAATGTCTCTCATTGGCCCCTGTATTGAAGGCTTAGATCTTAGACCATGGTGCCACTGGGAGGTAGCAGAACCTTTGAAGGTGAGGCATAGAGAAAGGAAGTGAGGTCCTTCTGGGTGTGTACTTGATACTGGGACCAGAGACTCTCCTCTTACTCTCTTGCTTCGGAGCTTCCATGAGGTGAGTAGCTTCTGTGGCATGCTCCCCTTATGATGCTCTGACACAGGCCCAAAAGCAATGGAGCTAGTCACTGACTGAAATTTCCAAAACTGTGAGTCAAAATAAACTATTCCTTTTTAAAAAATTGATTATCTCAGGAATTTTGTTACAGTAACAGAAAAGTGACCAACACAGAGGCATTTTAAAGGAAAAAACAATTTATGATAATTGTTAAAGTCCAACATTAATTTACTGTTTTACTTTAAATCTAAAGATGTAATATTTTCATTCAGCTAATAAAATGAAATTATTTGCCATGTTTGAAAAGGTGCTCAGATTCTCCCTCATTATATTTTAAGTTCTGTGAAAATAAGGAATGACTTAACGTATTTTGTATCACCATTGCCTTGGGACTATGCCTGACTGTTCAGGGTAGAGATGTCTAAAACACATTGAATAAAAAAAATTTGTTTATCTTGGCCTCAGATTATGTACAAATGTTGGCAGTAAAACACCAAATACCACATTACACAATATTATTTTTTTCAGCAAAAACAAACCATGCAAGTTGGTAAACTGCCTTTTTTGTTTTATTGATAATGACACATACTAAAAAATTAATATATATTAATTATCCATGGTCCTTTATAAATATTTAAAGCTATTTTCAAAAGCACAATTCATACTGCAAAATCATACCATAAACTACATATTTAAAAAGACAAAAATAAAATACATTAAAGATCATAAATCATGATGGGATATTGAGATGGCTCATAACTCTTTCAAACATTCTGATTACAATCAAATGTAGATCTTTACCAAAAAGTTGATAATTCTAGGGATTCCTTTTGAGGAAAGATTTAGTTTTTATGTAACAAATAGCCAGATTAGCATACCTGAAATTCCTATGGTCTTAAAAAGTTCTTCAAAGTCCATTAATGCAAACAGAATATTATAAAGTATTCCTGGATGTACACACACCTTTAAAAGATTTTAAAGTACTTCGTTTATATTAAATATATTCCTTGGATTCAAAATTGTTGAGGTTTCTAGATCCTATCTTTTCATGTCTTCACAGACTGGATCTGATCTGATAACAAAAAACAAACAAGAATTATTAGTTTCTGAAGGACAAAAATCTTTTCTAAAGTAAATATAAAAAATGTGTGTAACATGGTAAAACCCTATGTGTACATGTTTTTCTTACACAATTCATACTATAGTTATATTTTTAAAATCAAAGTTGTACATACAAATGGTTAATGAATCAACTAGTTCTATAAGGCTTGTTTGAAAAATAGCAGCTTCTTGCTTCATCTTTCTTTCCCCTTTATAGAATCGAGGACTTGCAGCTCTTTTTAGGTGATCGTTTATGTATTTCTAAGTATACTTTAATATTAATTCTTGAAAGTAATGTAATAATGAGGCTTCAGTTCTTACACTTTCATGCTGCTCTTCTGTACCCTCACTGTATTTCTACTACTCCCATCAATTTAACATAGTGATGCAGTCATTATCAATATGACTATGTAAATTTTATGCACAGCTGATTTAGGTGGTACACTCTGGTTAGTTGTCTTTTCCTCTACTATATTGTTTTCTTTCAAGGTAGTAATTTGACTTCCCACCTTCACATTAACCCATCTAGGTTTTTAAAAATGTATGTTTTAACAATAATCCAATCCCAATACTTCCAGTTTAAATCTTTATTATTATGAAGCACTTTGCATCATATTCATCTTGAAGAATTCTTCCCTAGAGTCCTACAAAATTCTCCAAAGTAGACCAGCTGTTCTCTCTTCCTGTCAGTCTGAGATTTCCTTTCATTATTATTTTAGAATATCTATTAACAAATGAGATTCCTTCCCCTATTCTGTTTCAATGTTCCTTATTTTTCTCTTCTTGATTTTTTCTCTTGTTTTTGAAGACTGCTCCTTTCAATACTAGACTTTATACAATCAAAGATGTCTTTATTCTGTTGTCACAATATGTTGATATTGTTCTGAGAATATTTTCTCCATGAACTTTTTGTTATAGCTTCTAAATTGTTGTTTTTGAGAAGTCTGATGCTATTCTATTTACCCTTATAGGAAAATGCTTTTATTTATTTTTCCTTAGGAAGCTTACAGAGTCTTCTATTATTATCAGAGCTGAATTTCATAAACAATGCACCTTGATGGGGATTATTTCATCCATTACACTGGGCTTTCAAAAGGACTTTCAACTGCAAACTCATCACTCAGTTCTGATAAAGCTCTAACTGATGATTTGCTACTCTTTATTTTCTCTGTTCTCTTTTTCTGACTTTCTTCTTAGTTGAATATTGGGCCTTATAAATATGACCCCTTTTTCTTTTCTTTTCAATTTCCAAATCTTCATCCTTTTGATGTTTTCTGGGAAATTGCCTCTATTTTATTTATTTTTGTTGAGTTTTCCATTTTTTTCTATTCTATTCTTATTTTCCAAGGATTATTTTTTTGTTTCTTATCAAGAAGTAGTATCCTGGTCCTATTCATGAAGACAGCATCTTACCTATTTGAGGAGACTTAACGGTTTTTCAAAATGTTCTAAGTTCTACGTCTTCTAACCTGCTTTTCTTGTTTTTTTACATTCCCATATTTCACAATGCTTTCATCCGCATGTCTGGTGATCATTTGCCACTTGTTCATACGTACATGTGAACACTAAGAAAGCACACTGAAATTTGGAAATGTGTGAGGAACTTGTCAAATATGGTCTTCACTATAGTGTCTGGCTAAGTCATTTCTGTGGGAATCTCCAATATTAATACCTTTAGGTTTTTTCATTACATTGGTCTAATTCCTTAAAGATGACTTTTCCTATTTTTTGCCTACCTCCAGTGTTTCCTGGGAAAAGTAGAAGACAGAATTACAATATTTGATATGGAAACTTTTAGTCACTTCTCACTTTCACTTCAGCATTACCATACACATTTATGTCTGGTGTTTTCTAGTCCAAAGATATTCTGCTTGACTTCCATACAGATATTCCTTCAAACTTCTTTGTGGGAAGGATATATAGCCATATCTTTTCTCTTCAATTCCATTTTCATCCTTATTTTAAATTTCCGCCAATTTCTGAGCTTTCAAGAGGATCTGCAAAGCAAATTAGGCTGCCTTCCAGCATTCCCCAGTACTAATTTGGGATTCAGCTTTCTGAGATCTGTTAAATCAATCAACATCCATCAGATTCACCTTCCAAAATTCAGTTGTTCTTTTCACCACTTGCATTCATTTTGCCCACATAGGTTAATGTCTTTTTAAAAGTTCCCTTTATTGTTAGTGAGATTTGGGAATAAAACTGTGTATGTGTTCTATCTTCTGTTTTTCACTGGAGTTTCCAGATGCATAGTTTATAACAGCTTAATGTTAAAATCTAGAAGTAGAATGGGGATATGGCTCAAAGGTAGCATGCTTGTCTACCATGTATGAGGCTCTGGGGTTTAAATGCCAACACCACAAAAACAAAATAAAACAAAACAAAAAGGTTTATAATCTTTAAGCATTATTCAAAGTTTCAAAGCTAGAAAACTTATTGCTCAGTTATATTTTCTGGAAGATTAAAAAAACACTTCATATTCTACTCAAGGGTTGTCTTTGGGTGGTTATACGTGCTTAAGTGATGAGATTCTTTCCAAAAGAGAATAGAGTCATAGAATATGCAACATTTAGTATTTCACAAAAATGTTTCTAAATTTTAGCTTAAAATAATGAGACGAAATTGGTCCAAAATGAACCAGAGGTCTTTTTGTTTATCATGATAGGAAATTTCAGATTCTAAAAGCAAAATGAAGAGATCAAAGTTCAAAACATCTTTCATAGTTAGATTCATATAAATGTTTTTAACTAATGATTTAACAATTACAGACTAGTCTCTTGCATTTACTATTATTTATTTTGCAAGATAGGATTTCATCTCTTCAAATAGAGGGATATAAGTGGGAACATCAAAATGCAAACTATTTATTATTATATAAGAAATATGAACAAAGAATCTTTTTAAACCAAACTGATATATATATATTTTTTTATTTTTTATCTATATATTTATTAATTTATACTCTGTTAAATAGTGTAGTTAGGTAAAAGAGTAAATTTAACATTCACTGACTTCTTTAGTACTTTAACAGAGACAATATATAATTAATTTGTATAATTTATGACATTTTAAAACTTTACAGATGAAGAAAATTATCTTCACAAGACACTAAGAGATGTTAGCTAATAGGTGAAGAGGTTAATTAATAAATAGGGGAATAAATCTACTAGACTCAAGAACCCCACTGTGTTTTACTAGTGTTTTATGCTGCTTAGAGACAATAGGGATACTACCACTTACCTTGTGAAGACTGTTGTAAAGAGAACATAAAGTAAGATGATAACAAAAGGACACAAAAGCATTTCCAACAATGTGTCCTTCATAAGACTTGGAAGTTAAGACAGTTAATGGGTGAGAAAAGTCAAAGAAACAAAAATTTGGTGTCAAGAGGAGTTGGCAGTTGGTACTATGATGTTGGATCTTTACTGACACCTAGTGGCCTGATTGCTACAGACAAAATAAAGCCAAGGTGGGTGGGAAGGGYCTAAGAGCTTAACTTAAAATCTAGATGAATACAAACTAATTTTCAGTTAAGTACTATGTTCTGAATAACTTTATTATGATTGATCATAGGGTTTCTATTCTATAATATCTTCACTATAACAGTAAGAACTTGTGAAGTAAGAAATGAGGGATGAAAACATGCTTTTGGTACATTCTCTGGATTTTCATCTGACCTCCATCAGTTTGTGGTGGGAATTCATCCCATTACCTTGACCATTTCCTTTACCATAATCTAAGAATCTAACTTAGTGGGGTATATGTGCTAGATCCTTGCTATTTTTTCCCAATATGTAGAAGATCACTGTAGAAGAAATCAGAATTTATAACCAAAAAACAAAATTAGAATTTATATCTTGTTATTTACCTTTATTCAGAGTAAGATTCCCCTTAAGAATGATCTTAGTTGTTCTATTTAAAAAAAAACTTTTGACCTGGTTGCCAAGATTATGCAATGAATACCTATAGAACTTGGCTTCATGGACTTATCTTCTTGTTTTACATGCATAGTAGATAATGTAACATTAGGGAAATTATGTATCTTAATTTATTCCCCGATATAATTGGCTGGCATCAACCTATGATAACTGTTTTGGTGAATAACAAACAGAACTACAAATACATAAAGCATCATAGAATAGCAGTATTTATAATACTCAACATGTGTTAAAAGTTCTATATACATTTTATATATAAATGAAGCTACACATGGAGTATTTATAGCCTGATTCTTAGAAGATACATGTCATTCACACTTATTTTTAGTTATTGACAATGAAGCCCAATAATCATACCAAACTTCAAATGTGCTTCAATTATTAGCTCTAATGGAAATTTGGTGCCATAAATTAAAATTATTTTCTAGATTTGTCATATATATTGATTGTAAAGAGGCAAACGCTTTAAATAACATATGAAACTTAAAGTGTAAAAGTAAATGGAGCAAACTATTGGATACTTACTGTACTGTTTTTTCTGATAGCAGAAACAGATGGAAACAAGAGGAAAAAGGCAATGATATAATAAAAATAAAATGTAGACAAGAAAATTATATGAGTGGAAAAGAAGCAAAGGCTGAAGATACACAGTACTTTGTGATGTACCTTGAAGCCAGTCTACACCTTCTTGCAATCCTTCTCCTTTTATGGCATCACTAGCACTGAAATAAAATCCATAAGAAACAAATCCATTTCATTACATAATGAACTGTAAGAATAAAAAATTACAATTTTTCCATGTAACAAATTAATACATTCTAGTAATATACACTTAAGGAAAACCAGTTAAGAAATGACACTGAATATAAATTGGAAATTAAAGACTGAGGGCTCAGAACCAAGACATGAAAAACATTTTCATAATTTATATAGATATTCTGAAAAGTATATCACTAAAGTTATTCTAAGAATAGTACTTAGACTTACATTAACAACACGTAAACTTTGAGTTATTCTTCCAGTGGTGGTAAAGTTTGTAGAGTTACCATCCTACTTCAACTAGCCTTGAAGGTTCAATAACAGCTACTTACAAAAAAAAAAAAAATGCTTGAATTGGGTTGGGGATATAGCTCAGTTGGTAGAGTGCTTGCCCTGCATGCACAAAGCCCTGGGTTCAATCCCCAGCAACACACACTCACACAAACACACACACAATGCTTGACTTAGGCTGTAAAACAGCTACATGACAAGAGTTACTTTATTTGAAATGTAACCTGATATCTATAACCCATAATTATAACTTTGATAAGCTGGCAGAATAGAAAAGAAGCCCAGTAGATTTCAATCACAATTTTATATTTATGAGCTGCATGTACTTGGCTAGGTTACTTAACATTTTGTCTTTAATTTTAACATCTGTAATATGGGGAAATATAATTACTCATTCAGCACCAAGGCTAGCTCTTAATGTAAGCTCTACTACATTCTCGCTTCTTATTTTACTCCCTCTTCTCTACTTTAGTGTTCAACCTTTCCCTTTAGTCTCTGTAACTCTTATAAAAAGGAGAAAACTCTGGTAAGAGAAGGTCATCTTGCAGCAGGGAGAGGTAAGTGGGTGGTAGGTAGAAAGGAGTGGATGGTACTAACACTATCTAATAATATATAACCTCTGGTTATTATTTTTGATACATTTTAACAGAAAGATATATAATATATTAGTAAGAAATTGTTTTTCAAATAATGCATAATAATTTCAGATATTAATCATTTGAGATTTCAACTTTATTAGTTTGTCCAAATAAAATTGTTATTTCTATTTATTCATTTTAACAAATATTTATTGTGTATCTATTATTTACCAGGTACTATCACTATTTCAGAGGTTACAGAAGAAGAAAAAAGAAAATGACAAAATCTCAACTCTTACGGAACTTATTAGTATAAGAAGACAAGTTAAAAATAAACAAACAAACAATAGCGGTCATATGGTGCCCTAAAGGAAGTACCACAGCAAGACAGAAAATATATTTTGGAGGATGATTCAGATGGGGGAGAGGTGAGACTATACAAGTATAAATGCCCTGAGATGGGATTATGGTTGAATGTTTCCACATACAGAAGGAAATCACTGTGGTTGAAGTCAGGTGAATAAGCGGGCTACTTAAATTATTCCATTATAATAGTGTTTACATTTTTCTATCTCCAAAAGGATTTAAAAGGGTTTTAACAGTAATATATTTCTGAATATCTGCATTGCCACAATTCTGTAAAACAAATCCTTACTTTACACAGTACTCTGCTTGGTCATTTATAAAATGAGATCAGAAACAAAACAATGAAGCTTGGATATCTTTCAGCATGATAAATAAAGTAAATATAAAACTTTACCAAATATGCCATGGTTTATCTTTGATGTTCTCTAAACACAGCAACTGAGACACTTTTACAGATGTCACTGCATCTCTAAGATCCATTTTGTTTGCAAAGAATAAGATTGGAATTCGACGGTGTTTAATATCTAAAAGAGAAAAGAAGACTATCTTACAAGTTCAGCTTATGGGGTCACCTTGCCCCAAATTCTTAAAACTAAAATAAAATAAATTGTTTTCCAGTTAATTTGTTCTATATGACACATGATAAACATTTAAAGGCACATACTTTCAAGCATGTATTTGAGCAAAAGGAAAATTTTATTGATATTTCTTCCTAAGACCATCTGCCTTCTGGTTAGAAGCTTTAAACCAAAGGTAGATGAGGTTGGAGAAGGGGACTCAATGAGCAGTTAGGAAGAAGAATCTATACAAAAAGTTCAAATATATTGCTTGTTACATTTTGTCTTCTAATACTTATGCAACATAATTTATTCAATTAAATGTAAAAATGTAATGTATTTGTTAACTAATCTTTTTAATTTTTTTTTTTTTTTTTTTAGTTGTAGATGGACACAATACCTTTATTTTCTTTACATACTGAGTATGGAACCCAGTGCCTCACACATACCAGGCGAGCACTTTACCACTGAGCCACAACTCCAGCCCAAACAATGCTGCAATGAATACATTTGGATATAAGGTGGGTATTCCCACAGAATAAATATGATAGTGGAATTGCTAGGTCAAAGGACATGGAAATTGCTGTTTTTTGATAGATAGTATTTTTAAACAAAGGCTATCTTTCCTTAATTCTCTATCAATCTTCAGCAACAGTTTATAAAATTAAAGGTTTCCATTCCCTAGCTAAAAAAGAATTACCAAAATTTTAAAATCTTTTCCATATGCTATATGATTAGTAAAAAGTATGAACCCAATGTGTTCATTTGTATTTTTTGAGAAAAGCCACGAATMTTATAATATTTACAAAAGATGTTAAATGTACCTTTTCTGTTGAACTAGCTACACTTATATCTGGATAATTCATTGCCTTTCTCTGTTTTCAATTAATTTTTTATTTTCTTACTGATTTGTAGGAACACAAGTAGTATGCCCTATAGCTATTATATTAGTTGCAAATATTTTCCCTTGTCCATCATGACTTTTGAGCATTCATGATACATTATTTTGCTCGTCAAAGATTTTTTTATGTCTTTCATTAAAAAAATGATTCATATGCATTTCAGCTGAAAAATCCCACCCCTGAAAATTTATACCATAAATTAAATAAATCAGTACAAAAGGTATACAGACAAAGCTTTGGTTCAAGAATCTAAGGTTCCTATTGTGTTTGAGGCAGATTTTGTTAAGAACTATTTCATTTTATTAGTCAACAACTTTGCAGGGATAGGTAGAAAGATCAATAAAAAGGAAACATTTGATCAAAAATGCCTTCTCAACACAGATCAAAACTAAAAAGCTTTAAAAGTGGAAATGATACATAAATGATATAGGCTAGGTAATTTGAGATCATCATATAAAAACACCAAAGATATTCTAGTTAAGCAGCAAGATTTGTTAAGAGTTATTTATGTATTTAAGTTTTGCGATGCTGGGGATCAAACACAGGACCTTCTGCATGCTAGGCAAGTGCTCTACCACTGAACTATGTCCCTAGCTTAGCAAGAAGGTTGGAAAGCTCTACAGTATTCCTATTCTATTTCTAACAAATCTACAGTTTTTTAAAACCACCCTTCTCTTCTAAAACTCCTAACACAAGGATTACTTAAAACCTTTTTGACATGAATAAGGCTAGAAATTTAGAATTTCATAATATACTGAAGAATTATTTGTAATAGGGGAAAGGGAAGGGAAAAATATCCATCAATAGGTAAGTCACTGAATAAATTATGGTATACTCATAGTACATAATATTAAGGATCTTTAAAAAGATCACATAATCATACAATTTGACTTGGAAGTATTTCCATCATGTAGTGTTGAAAATGGGAAGATGCAAAAGAGTCTAATAAATATGATCCCATTTTGGTAAACAACAATAGCTCCAAGAGCCCTTAATCTTACAGATATCTTTGGAATCTACATAGGTATATATATATATATATTTTTTTTGTGTGTGTGTGTTCATACATACATACACATGACACATTTAAAAAATATGAATGAAAAAATATCAAGTTGTTAATACTAGTCTGTTAAAAAGGGGTGGGGAGCTGGCAGTTGGAGATTAAAAACAAAAAAGATTTGTTTTAAAAGAATATCCATAATAAATATGTAAGAAATTCTGTGATCATACACACACACACACACACACACACACACACACACCTGTTTTATATGCTGCTAAATGATATGAGCAGCATAATTGTAAAGGAGGAAAGGTTTATTTAAGGCTCATGGTTTCAGAGGTCTTAGTCTATAGAAGGTTGGCTCCATTCCTTGAGGCTCTAGGTGAGGCAGAGCACCATAGCAGAAGGGTGTGCAGAGGGAAACAGCTCACATCATGATCAGAAAGCAGAGAGAATTTCACTTGCCAGATACCTAAAAGCCATGGCCTAATTCCCACCTCCTCTAGTCACACCCTACCACTTCAGTTACCACTCAGTTAATCCCTATTAGGATTAATTCACTGATTGTCTCACATGTGAGCTTCTAGGAGACATATTACATCCAAACCGTAATACATACACTCTCACAAATTCAGATATACAAGGAGTGATACATATAAAAAAGTAACCAAATTAATCTTAATGGCTGTTGAAATATATAGATTTTTTACTTTATTCTTTTTCTGTTTCATTTTTTTCTGTTGGCACATATTATTTATGTAATTGGGAAAGAAGGACATTTTTTTACTTTATTTCAGACAGGGTCTCACTATGTTGCCAAGGCTAGACTTGAATTTGAGATTTTCCTGCCTAAGTTTCTTAAGTAGCTGGGTCTACAGGCATGGGCCACTGTGTTTGACATGACATTTTTGTTCTTGTGGAAATGTTAGAGACTCAGAAAACATTGCAAAGAGCTTTGAAATTTAAACAATATGATGACATAAGCTATTCTAAATTTTGTATAACTAGCACATTTTAAAATTCAAGAATTTTAAATAAAATGTAATTAGACAGTATAAGCAACAGTTTTGGTTTTTATCTAATAACAAAACAACATACATAAATAGATCCTAAAACACAGAGATCACAGACTGAAAGACAGACATACCTGGATGATTCAGAAGAGTATCAAGCTCTTCTTTGGCCACAACCATTCTGAGTCTATCACTACTATCAATGACAAAAATAATGGCTTGTCCTTCTCTGCATAATAAAATAGAAAATAAAATATACTATTTTGGTATAATTCAATGGACATTTTGTGTATTTTCACATATGAACATCTATATCTGTATTTAAAATGGAATCCTGATGTTTTATACCTTGCCTTCTTTTTTTGTAGTATGGTTTGTACTTTTATATGAAAAAATAAAGCTTCCCAATAGCATTTCTCAAAATTTCTTTTTACCATAAACCATAGTGAAAAACTAATTTTACACTGAGATGCAGGAATTGTATATACAAGTATACATAAATATAATTAAAAGTCTCCTGAAACAATACTTAAAAATAGCTTTTATTTTACCCTAGTTTACATTTAAAAAAGGTGATAGCCACTGAACTCATTTAATGATCCTATCAGCATTTCAAAAATCATGGATTCCTCTGTACYCTTCTTTCAAAGGTTACAATATATTGTATGCACCATCAAATAAACCTGTGTTGTTGGACTTCATTCTGTTATTGGACTGTCATTAATAATCAAATGAATAAAAATAAATCAGACTTCTAAAATACCATTTATCCTATCATCTAAAAAAATGAAAATGCAGATTAACACAGCCACACCCTACTAGTGTATATAGAAGCCAGTACAATTGGAAATATCAAGAGCTTTAAAAATGTTCAATTACTTTGAGCAAGTCATTTTATTTCTGAATTCATTCTAAAGTAATGTGAACTATAGCTAAGGTTTATGAAAAAAGTTAACTGGAGGATCATATATATCTTACTCTGAAGAAACAAATGACATTCTTTCTCATAGGAGTGCTTTGTTTTGATAGTAAAAATAATTATTACTGTATGCATTATTAATCTTTTAACCTTTTCAGTCTAATACGTTAAAATACATTTATTATTTATAATTAGAAAAATATAGAGAAACTAATTATTGTAGGCTTCTCAACAACAAACATATTTACCATTCAGTCTACAATTTAACCACAATGTTCCCGAATTCATTAATTTCTTTCAAAAGCAGTAAAAGGAGTTGAAATCAGAAAATTTTTTTCTTGTTTTAAGTATTATTTTTCCCTGTATTTTTGTTCTCTGTAATTAAGATAAGTATTTTTTTTTCAAGTTGAAGCAAATAATTTATAATTATACAAAACTCCTTAACCTGTAAACTGAAAACATTTTTCGAATATGAAGGTCAGTATTTAAAAATCCTTGATTTTACTTTTTTCTTTTTTTTATTGGTTCATTTTAGTTATACATGACAATAGAATATCCATTTTAACATAATTATAAAAGCATGGAATATATTTTGTTTTAATTCAATTTTAAAAGGAATTTCTATCAACTAACTAAAGGAAGAATAAAAATCATGTACTGAAAATTTAGATTTTCAAATAATAAAAATAAAAAATCGTCATCATCATCATCATCATCATCATCATCAAATTCCCCAGGGAATTTAATGCAGGATACCATAAACATGTTACTTTTCCTTTTCTAAAATGATCCTCGAATTGGAAGTGCTCTCCTTTTTTTCTACCTCAGAGGTACTCTGGATCTACATATTTAAATAATTTCAATGTACTCAAAGTACTTACTGAAAAGAATATCTCCTTTTGTTCATATCCCAGGAATATAATATTTGTTATATTTGCAAGAAAGAGTTAATCAACTTATTAAATCTAAATCTGATGTGGTAGTCTTCTTATACCATTTCAAAGCTGGAGTTCATAATATCAAAAGGGAATTTAGTCGGAGAATACTGTTTTTACGTTTCAGACTCCAAAAATGCTTTTTTGAGGGGGAGGAAGGGTTTAAACATCAGAACTTTATTAGTTGCTCAAAACATTACATTGATCTTGACATATCATATATCATACATTTGTTTCAAATGGGGTATGAATTCTTATTCCTACATGTACAGATTGCAGGATAACATTGGTTATACCACCACGTTTATACATACTGCAAAAGTTCTATCAATATTAGAAGTTAATGAATTTAACACCAAATGCAAATCTTGAGAAAGTATAACATATATGGATTCTAATAACTTGACAGCTGTTAATTTGAAGTAACTAGTGAACACTTATTTGTTTATGCTGAAAAATATCCTATTTAAAATTGCTCATGGAAAAAACAGATCAACTGTTAGTACTATTATTTTAACTAAATTTGGTAATAATATTTTATCTACATGCTAAGCATCATACTAAGCCTTAAAGAAAGGAAATCATCTCATCCTTAGATAAGTTCACAATCCCATTARGGAGGCAGCTACAGTACTTGACTTTGAGATAATAGTAAGTAAGATTACAGAGATGTAAAGGGATAAGGTAGTGGGCAAACACAGGGGAAAGAATAAACAAGGAAACAGTGACAGAGGAGGTGACTTTTGAGCAAATTCTTAAAGCATGAATAAATTAATCATAAACTAAAAATATGTAAGATAAAATGGGACATTAAAAACAGAATGGCACATGCAAAAGCTCAATGTTATGAAGGACCTGAAGCATTGAATTAAAAAATGTGCTTAATCATATTACATTTGAATTAGAAAATGTGCTTATAGTATATTATATTAAACCTTAATATAATAATTAAACAATATTCATAAACATACTTACTTATAATAGTGCTCCCAGAGATTTCTATATCTTCCCTGACCTGACATGTCAAACACTGTAAAAGACAAACTTAAAAAAAAAGTATGAAGTATGACTATATTATAAGCTACTAACTTACAGTATAACATTTATTTAGTATTTTAAATTGTTTTCAAAGAAATCACCCTTGCTATATAATAATCAATGTGGGCCAATTTTTAAGAGTTCCAAAAAATGAATTTGTACGTATGATTTTTGTAATGAATAACACAAAAAGATACTTTATTTGCTAATGAGGTTACTTAGAATCTAAATTCTATGTTTTGAACAATAAACCAGAGGTAGTGGTACAAAGTATTAGAATCTACAGGTTTCTAAAATAAATTACTTTCTCTAAGACTAGGAGGGATGATCAGGCTCAGGCAGATTTAATATGGTTACTTTTTATCCACAACTTCTTTTTATAACTTTATTTATTTTTTATTAGTGCATTATAGCTATATATAATGTTGGGATTCGTATTGACACAATCATATCTATGACTTTTAGTCAAAGGGATAAAGGGGATTACCTGGATGATTTGAATTTCTCTATGTTGAATCCTATTGTTGGAACTATATCTTGAGATTGAGCCTATAAGAGAAAAGACAAAGTTTAGAAAATTGCAATTAACAAAGAATTTTTTCTTGTGAAAAAAAGTGTTCATATTTTATATTTCTAAAATATGTCACAAAGGAGATGGCAGCATTAAACAAATTATAACTTTTGCAATAGGATCAATGTGTATAAATTTTTTATAGCTGATTAAAATTTATACTGATTTTAACTGCATAACATCCATGTCTTAATTCACATTTTATTTTATTAARAGTTACCAAGGACTTGAAGTTTTCTTTTTCTTTTTTCTAAATGTTTGTGGTTTTTTGTTTTTGTTTGTTTGGTTTTTTGCTTGTTTTATTTGGTTTGGGATTTTTAATTGCCAGTTTGCAACAAATAGAGAGCAAAAAACTTTTTTAGTAAGGTAATAAATTCATCTATTGATTTAACTCAGGAATTTTCTATTGATGATACACTGTGCCTACTATAAGCATTTTTTTGACAAAAAATGCTTATAGTAGGCACAGTGTATCATCAATTTTACAATCATCATTTGCTTCAGATGTCAAATACAGCTTCTAGGTTAGGTCATGTATCCACATAAGCAAAAATGATTTTACCTTATAATTCATCTCATCAAATTTGTTTTAAATTGCTTTAATTTCTTTGACTTTATGACAGAGACATAATCATATACATAGACTTCAATTCTACATATCAGTTTTATCTGTTGGGATCTCATCTCCACGTCTAAATCCTACAATGTCCCAATATTTAATCCTTTTTAAAACATTAAAACATATATATATATATACATATTTATACATATAAAGCACAATTTTTCATATCTCTGGTTGTATATAAAGTATATTCACTCCAATTCGTGTCTTCAGACATGTACTTTAGATAATGATGTCCATCACATTCCATCATCATTGCTAAACCTCAGCCCTCTCCCTTCCCCTCCCACCCCTCTGCCCTATCTGTTTTTTAACAGGTCTAATATATCACCCTGAGTTCATACATGGAATTGTCTAATCTTTCATCGAATATTTACTAAGTTTATACAAATACCACCTTGATTTCACATCTAGACTGTCCCTGTAAGGATTCTGGCTGTGGGTATGTACAAGGCAGCGTTCCTCTGGTGAGCAAACTCATGGAGGGTAACAGGCATCCTGTTATCCACATTTGGAATATTCTACAGTTTCTCCCTGGAACTAGTAAGATGACTAATACATGGTCAATGCCTAGCTCAATGTCCTTGAGAGGAGGCTCTGTGCTAGAGTCTTATCAGCCTCGACCTTAATCTCAAATACTCAGCTTCTGGGAATAAAGGAACTCTCTTAGACAACACCAATGTGTCACTGTGCCTAACTGCCCACATAACAGTAACTTTTTACAATGAGCAATATGTACTAACGATGTCAATGACCTAATGTAGCCTATAGATATAAATAAAGCTGGCAGCTCAGATGAGAAGCTCTTTTACTTTGCCCCTGCACCTTGTTGCTTCTGTCTGTCTTTGTTATTCTTCACATGTCCCTGCTCTCAATGAGTTTATAATCTAGAGAAAGTAAATGAATTAACAACTTAATAACAGATAAATACAATTTTGAACAGTGATAAGTACAAAGACAGGTGATTGGAGTGAAAGGGAACAGGGCAGAGGAAGGCTGGTATGTGGCACAGTAGAGTCCTCAGGAAGGACTGCTCTAAGAGAGTGACATCCAACACAAGAGTAAATGGCCATGAAAGAGAAAAGCTATGACAAGCTCTTGGCAAAAAACATTCCTGTCTTAGCCTATGCAGCAATGATCTTAGAGCAGGAAGGAACCTGACACTCAGAAAAAGTATAAGGCCTGCTTATCTGAAGTATATGGATAAGTAAAAGAGCTGTATATGTTTAGGTAAGAAAGGTAGGTATTGAAAGCCTACGCAGAGAGTTCTGTGTGATGAAGACTGCAAGGGGACAATAGTACAGCAGGACATCTGTTGACAAGTTGAACAGGCAATTAAAATGCGTTTTACTGAAAACTCATCAAATGTCTCTTAGCATTTCTACCATCAAAATTATTCACCCATTTGAATAAAACATCTACCTATTTTCTGATCCAGAGCTTTAAAGTTATTCTTGAATCCTTCCTTTTTTACATTCCATATACAATCATTTTCTAAATCATTCTCGTTACAGGTTCTATCTCACTTCATTCTGGTCCTTATTATTTCTTGCTTTGAATTACTACAATAGTCCCTTTTTATTTGTTCTTTTTAGGTATACATGACAGTAGAGAATACAAACACGAAACACGTCCTATTCTAATTAGAATCCTAGTCTTGTGGTTGTACCTGATGTGGAGACTCACGACTCACTGTGGTTTATTTATATATGTACATAGGAAAGTTAAGTAAGATTAATTCCACTTTCTTTCCTATTCCTGTCCCCCTCCCTTCCCTTCATTCCCCCTTGTCTAATCTATTGAACTTTTACCCCTACCCCCCATCTTGTTCTGTGTCAGCATCCACATATCAGAGAAAATATTTGACCTTTGGTTTTGTGGAATTGGCTTATCTCACTTAGCATAATAGTCTCCAGATCCATCCATTTACAGGTAAAAGCCATAATTTCATTATGTTTTATGGCTGAGTAAATATTTCATTGTGTATATCTACCACATTTTCTTTATCCATTCTTCTGTTAAAGGGCATCTAGGTTGGTTGTATAGCTTAGTTATTGTGAATTAAGGTGCTATAAACATTTATGTGGTTGTATCATTGTAGTATGCTGATTTTAAATCCTTTGGGTATATATACTGAGGAGTGGTCAAATGGTGGTTCCATTCCAAGTTTTCTGACAACTCTCCATACTGCTTTCCATAACGGTTGCACCAATTTGCAGTCCCACCAGCAACCTATGAATTTACCCTTTTCTCCACATCCTTCCCAACATTTGTTACTTGTATTCTTGATTGTTGCTATTCTGATTGAAATGAGAGGAATCTAGGTAGCATAGCCAATTAAGAGACTATTGAGACAATAGAATTACCTTGGACAAATTAGTTAAGACTAAGTTTTCTTAAATGTGAGGTATATTTTTTACTATCCTTAGCTCATAAAGTTATCATGAAAATTAAACTAATGGGTGCAAAACAAACAATACTGTGTCTTAAAATATGCAACAAATGTCTGCTGTTATTATAATCATAGTCTCACTGATTTCATTCAGTCTTGCCTCCACTTATTTCCCATACTACCACAAATATAGCTTAAAAAGAAATCCCTTTCCAGTTTTGCCTCACATCATTATGCTCACTCTGGGAAATTTAAATTCAAATGAAAACACTGAAGCTGTAAAATCACTGGGGTCTGGGTACCCTAATAGTAACATTAGTGAAAAAGTCTGCCCCTGAAGTACCCTGGTCTTGCTTTTTTGAAGTTTATTCATCTTTCTCTTTCATCCATCTTAAGAGTTGCCATAGTATTTTTCAAAAATACCTTCCTACTTGTTTGTTCAAAAAAATTATTTTCTGCTACTAAGATTTCTGCCTCATATATTAGGATTCCTCCCACAAGCTTTGAAATAGTTTCCTAATTTTGTTGTCCAAAAAAAATCTCCACCATCTTTAAGGGTTCTCAATGTGTCAGTCACATGATAAAATCATCAGCTATTACCTAAGAAAAACATACCAGTAACAAAAAAGTGAGGAAGTTAAAGCTTAAAGAAATCTCAGAAAATACAATCAAAACAGTAACCTTGTTTTCATTGAATTATAATTAGAACATTCAGCTAACCTCTCCACAAATATTCAGCTTCTCCACAAATTCCCCTTTAATATGGTATTTTATTTTTAGATGTAAAATTCATTAACTTTCTTTTCTTCTCCATCAAAGTTAAGATACTCCACAAATTAATCAGGATAGAACATACATGGGGGCTAGTGCTTCCAGATCATGTACAACTCATTTTCCTCTAAAGTATTTCCAAAAGATAAATCTCCAAAATTAATCTCTCTCCGCTCTCTTCATGAGCAAATGTATTGGGCCATTCTCTAAATTAGTCAGGGGATGATATAAAGCAAGTGAAAGGTATAGGAACAGATCATCCGAGACAGTCTAGGGATGGATCAACCCTAACAGGAATGAAACAGACTTCTAAGAACCTATTTAGTTAGTTTTATAACATCTGGTAAAATCCAATATCCTTGGACTATCAATAAAAATTCCCTGGCCAAAACCAAAAACATCATCTATCAATTTATCACCCCAAAATATACTTAATTGCTGAGCATTATTCTAGATATTTATAATTCAGTGCTTAACAAGTTAAGTGCTCTATTATGCTGAAGATAAATTTAACAAGGAAGTTAGCAAATGAATATACAAGATAATTTCAGATTGCTAGGAATTGGAGGAAAAAATTGTAATTTAAAAGGAAATATAAACATATCTTTTAAGGAAATGACAGCTGCAACTAGATTCTTGAAAAGAAACACAAAAAAGGGCAAAGCAAATTATTTTTCTGAGACAGAATAGCTGCCTAAAGACTATGGTTCAGGAAGTGGTTATCAGAAATTAGTAAAGCACTATTATGTGAGTTTTCTTGTAGCAAAACTTAGTAGGAATGTATATATCATGTGTGGAATGTGTTAGATTTACCTATGTTTTAATTATTAAAATAATTTGTTCATATGCTTATTTCTGTCTTCCTGTCCACTACAAATGATATGTACATCACACTTTTGGGGAAAAGTGTCTAATTTTCATAGAACCTATAAAAATGCCCATTCATTCTTTCCCTTTGTTTTACATCTCCCATAAAGAGGGAAGTTAAAAAAAAAAAAAAAAAGGCAATGCAACCTGAAAGTAAGGTTGAGAAAGTTATGAAGATCTTTAGGGGAAAAAAAAAAAMCAACTAAAATAATATTCCAGTTTAATAACCAAGATTTATATACATGCAACATAAAATACACAGCAAATTGTAGTTCACTGATACTTATTAAAGTATTTCAAGATTAACAAGATTCATAACATGATTACAGAAAATTATAATATCAAACAAAATAATTCTACATATTAACTTTTTCTAGTAGCAGAAAATACACACTGCATTGAACAAAGATACTTACATTTGAAGGTTTAAGTTTGTTAATGATTGTTGTTTTGCCACTGTTATCCAGCCCAAGGCACAAAACATGAACCTCCTTCTTCTTCAGGCCAAGCAAACCTGAAAGTCGGTCTAGCAATCCCATACTGTTATTCCAATATATACAAAGTGGCTGCAAGGAAAAAAAAAATACTATCTAAAGGCACCTTAAGTAAGGAAAATATTGATATCTGCATTAAAAATTTAAAGACACACATTGATGTAAAAAACATGTCAATGTAGCTTTACGCTTAGTAAACAGAGTATAAGCTGATTACCAGAAAGAAGCCTTAAATAAAATGCAGATTGGCAGCTTATAGCCTTTGGCAACATAGAACAATGCCCTTGAAAGAACCACATTTCTCATTCAATTTACAATATTTAAGAAGATGTGGTCAGCCTCACTATCATATGAAATCTGCCAATAGTAACACTTCAAATTGAGATTTCTGCCTATATCATTTGAATCACTAACTAAATCTTTATGACATATAAGAGCATTGTTATATTTTGTAATACTATGAAGATATAAAATGTTTACTATTTTTGTTTGGTTACTTTCAGTTTGAGTAGGGTTTTCTATCAATAGAAATAAACCATCCTGATATATTTATCTTTATTTCCCCTCATCCTTTACATATATCCTTGCAAGTCATCACAAATCCATTTTGAACTAATGGACACACACACACACAAACACACACACAAACACTATCACACTTTTATTGAATCTTACTAAATTTATTATCTTAACTATAATTTACCTGAAACATCCTTCTGTTATTTTAAGAAAACTTTATAATACTAGCATAGAAATAAGAAAGTAAATACTAATATTAGATTTTTATTTTCTCAAATACTGTTAAAAGATTTTTTGTTAACTTTTCCTTAAAGTATGCATTTGTTCAATTGTATTCATTTTTAGAAAAAAAAACAAAACAACTCTTCTGTTAGTTTCTATTGCTATAACAAATACCTGAGATAAATTAATTTATATAAAGAAAGGTTTATTTTTAGAATTTTGGAGATTTCAGTAAATGATACAGGCCCAATTACTTTTGGGCCTGTAGTGGAGCAGTACACCATAGTGGGGAACATGTGGTAGAGCAAAGCCGCTCACCTCACAGTTGGGATGTGAAAGAGAGAAAAAAGAAGGGGTTGGGTCCAACTATCTCTTTCAGGGCAGCCCTCAATGTTTGAGACTGCTCAGTAGGCTACAGAGGACTAGGCTTTTGGCACATGGATTTTTGGGGAACACTTAAGATGCAAACTATAGCACTTTCTAAATCAAATGTTTAAAAAAGACTCTACCAGTAATCCAATTACAAAAATGATGTCCTAATTAGAATAAATTATACTCCATGTATGTATAATCTGTCAAGATACACTGTACTGTCAGCTATATTTAAAAAGAATAAATAAAAAATAAAAAACAAAGTCAAGTAAAATTGCTATTGACAGGATCTTTGCTATGTGAAAACTTTATAGGTGTTCCTATCCAAGATGCTATTAAATTTATACTTCAGATCTCTAAATGAAACTTTTCAAAGGAGCTTGTTTTGGATTCCTCACCTCTCAGATCACCCGACTCTATAAGAAAATAGAGATATTCCTTTTGCCAACCCTCAAGTGCTACAGGCACTGCCCCAAAATACCTGTGAATATTTCCCATTACTCATTGAATATTCATTTTCCAAGTTCTCTAAACATTACTCTCAATTTATTTTCATCTTCATCTACAGTTCCAGAAACCTATTATCTGCCAACTTCTTCAGTATTTTTTATTCCATACCATCCTAAGCAAGACCAAACCTTGAATGATGTAAGGCTGTACAAAACTAACCAATAAGAGTCATCCAAGATAACTGCATGGGAAAGGATGCTGCAAAATTGACATTTTCCTTAAGTCCTTTGGGAGATCATTATAGTTTATAAATTTCAAAACTGAATTTCAATGAGGTACAGAAGATAGAAGGCACCACTCCCCCATTTAAGAGTAGGTTCTATAACAGAGCTAATTTTGTCTTATCCAAGGGATGGGTTGACCTCAGGTACTTCCATTTGTGCCAAGTGAATCGACTTTTATTATTAGCGGTACAAATCCCACTCAAAATTTCCTTTGAMTATCATCTAAAGGACTGGTATTTGTAGAATCTATTTTAAGTTAACCTTCTGATAGGAAGCAATTCACACAGATCATCTTAATTCGAAGTAAATTTGCTATTACTTTATTACACTGAATAAATGATATAAATGATATAAATGCTTATATTATTTTGTATTCCATACGACTTAAAATATTTTTAAAATTATGACCACTTTTCATATCTTCTCCATTTACTATAAAGCACTGTTAATGTTTAATCATTTTTCATCATTATTCTGACTTCCATTCCTTTTCACAATTACTAACATTTGTTACTGAAATATTTTTCAATATACAATTGAAAAAGGAAGTCAGTTTTTCTAAAGGATGTAATCGTATTTATTGAAGTTGCTTCAAAAATAACTATGATGAAGCCTTATGTATACTTTTTTATTTTTCAGTAATTATAATTTTCCATCCTTAAGTTTACTGTCTATATGCATAAAGGAAGGAAGTAAAAAATAACTAAAGTCACTCAACATTTATTAAAAGCACAGTGTATTAAAAGCACAGTGGAAGATACAACTGATATCTTTTATAGATTCCTATTCCTATAATAGGCTCTGATTTTCAACACTGGTTGCACTTTGCAATCAACTACTGAATCAGAGTTTCTGAGAATGGGATAAAGGCATTCATAGTTTTAAAAGCTACACAGTGTTTCTGATAAGTAGTCACTATTGAGAAATAGTAGTTTTCAGATCCCCTAATCCCATGTTCTTATCATCCATGTCGCCTTGCTACCTATCAAAATTAAGTCCATTTACAGCATTTTTTCCCCTAACAAGAGAAAAGCATAACAAAGCTATTTTTTACTCAAAGTTTTACATGACATAGGAGCCTTCAGAAATAAAGACCCAAAGACTCAGTGAAATTTTCTATTTTTTTTGTTAGGTCCCATGAAATATGAACAGAGTGTAAACTGATTGGACAAAAGAATATGATCTAATGGTAACAGAGGGAAACCCAACTAGCCCTGTCCATTCAGATTCTTCTTGGTCACTCTGTGCAGGTATGGAGCAGGACCTCACTGGAATGAGGATCTTCAAGGGAGGAGGAAAAGTGACCTTGATAGGATTTATGGTTTGCTTGAGGGACAGGAGTTCTAGTTTCTATGATATGTCTTGGGGAAGAATAATTCTCATTTCTCTTTGGGGAGACAGATAGGCAGGACACAGGAAGTGGAAAAAAAAATCAGGAAAATCTTGCTTCCCAGGCCCTTCCAAAGTCTTTCACTTCAAGGTACTCAGAAATTCAAGATGCAATACTTTGCGGTATCATGATCTGAGTTCTAACACTACCTTGGTTATATCTGTACTCCTAGTGTACATGAAGTTTATTTTTAATAAATATTGGTAATGAACACACTCAAAAAGAAAAATTCCATGTCATCACACTCTTAAATCTAATTCCTTAATCAATATTCAATTATAAAGATCTTTTTTTACAGATTTTCTTAACCTTCATTCAAACCTAGGACCTCACAAATGCTTGTCAAATGCTCTACCTCTAAGCTACATCCTCAGACCTACTATACATTCTTAGAAATATATTTCTAGAGGTAGGAATTGTTGCATCAAAAGGCAATCATATTTTAAATTCTGATAGATTCTGAGGATTTGTTTCTAAGAAACTTGCAACAACACTTACCAACAGTGGATGAAGCTTTCTATTCCTTTTATCAACACAGGTTATGGTTAATTTTTCAATATTTGCTAATCTAAAAGTAAAAAAAAATGATATTTCAGTATTGTTTAAATTCGTATTTATTTCACTACTAATGAAACTGAACATCATTTCAGAATTTAATTGCCATTAACATTTCTTCTTTTGTGAACTATCAGCTATATTCTGATGCTTATTTTTCTACTGATTACTTTTTACTATTGGCATGTGAGAGCCCTTGCCATACCATACTATTGCATAGTTTTAACCAATAAAATTTTACTATTATTTATGTTGTTTTGTGCTGTAAAGGAGTTTTAATTTCTATCCCGTAATATTTATAATGTTTTCTCCAGCTTCTTTCTTCAGCATTAGGCCCAGAAATACTTTTCCTCCTCAATATTTTAAACATATTAACCCCAAAATATTTTCTGCCTTTTGAAGAAAATAATGATTTTGAAGTTTTTGAAGTTTAAGTTTTGCCTGAAACATCTGGGTATAAGAAGTGAGGCAGGGAAGGGGCTGTGGCTTCTTTTCTTTAATACAATGATAGTCATTTTATTCTGGTATCATTTTTTTTTTTTTACCAACCCTTATAGATGGACTAATTTTTTCTCAACTTTTTTTTCACATTCTATATTTTTTATACAGGTTTGGGTGTGTTAGTAGATTCTGTATTTCAGCATATTCCAAATAGTACTCTTTGGAAGATGATTTTATGAATTATATTTAAAAGGTTTCCAAGATTATGTAAGTTTTAGAAATTTGGTATTCTCTCAATTTAAACAGGTTTCTGCAGGGCCATACTCCTGAAACTCTTTAATATGATTTAGCATATGGACTGCAAGTTTCCAAGAGGTATATAAAGCCAGTAGTATTTTTGATGAATATCTGTCCATGAAAACTTTGTTGGGAAGTATTTCAATTGCACATAATTTGGGAAACCTGATCTACTCTCTTTTTATGGATCTGTCTATACCTAGATCAGGACTACAATCTTTTAATTCACCTCCCTTTATAATACATTTGATAAAGCCCTTCTCTCATACTGGTATGTTTTCAGAATATGATAGATTTATTAAATGGTTTGCACACTTTCCACAGAAGATTTCACTTCAGTTATAAATAAAAATCTGCTATGAAAATTTCTGTGCTTCTATAGAATTTTTCTTATCTCATGTTTTTCTTTTTTCTTTCATTCTTCTTGTTTAAGTTTACAGAAAGAAAGATCTTGGACAACAATAAGGTTTTTCAAAGGCTAATTATGACTAATCTGAGATTAGTCCAGGTAATTCTTATTAAGAAGAAACCCCTCCCCCATCACCACTCAGACTGAGACACTATAATAGATGAAAGACTATCCCAATCTGACCATAGCAAACCTAAACATTCAGAGTTGGATAATAAAAAACAGTTAAAAAAATGAGACACCTGTCACAAAGTACACTTAGCCTTTTTCACTCTCCAAGTTGTTCTTATTATCAAAACTGTACTAAAGCTTATTTTTGGAGAAAATTATAGTCTTGTTTTAGGCAAAAAGTAGAAAGCTGATATTGAGATTGGCAAGTGTTAGCTAGGCAGAGCACCACTATCTGATAGCTTAGAAACAAAATATAACTTTAGCTTAAAATCTTACTTTCTAAACAGACAGTGGCAGAATTAAGACACCTGAGATCAATTTGCTGTAATAACAACTCTGTACTTGAATCTAGAATACTTGGGTTTGAGTATTGGCCATGGCCCTGGATGTATGACTTTGTGAGTTGCTTGGCCTCTCTGTCCTTTGGATGATCTCTAAAGCAGTGGTTATGCACTTTTTAAGGTTTTTTTTACAATCTATCTTTTCAGTTTTTCATCTGTTTTCCTTTTCCTGGCTACTGAGAATCAGCTTCCTAAAAGATTACACGTTGCTAGAAAAGCCCAGAAAAATTAGGATATTATCCAGTTAATAGCTTGGAAATTAAGTTGCAGACAGAGATAGGATCAGGCAGAGAAAACCCATGAATGGTATTTTGTAAACTTTAAACATGTTTGTCGAGTAAATTTTTGCACCTTTTATTACACCAAGTAAACATGCTTATTTGACTTTCAGTTTTTGACTGCGAAATTTCTATTGTAATTCCCCATAAATCATAAAAAGGCTCAAGTTGGACAGTGTTAAAACTAACCAAACACTATTCGCCCAAACCAGTTCAATACGTTTTCTAGGGTCCCTAGTACTCACCACAAAAGTCCAATTCTCCTTTTCCATCTTTCACACATTAGAAACAACTACTCGAGTGGAGCACAAAACGTGGGAAAGAGTAAAGAGAACTCCTAAAGCTAAGGGGGAGAGGTTTACCTCTGGCCACAAAAACTGGGGAAATAGGGAGATACCTGATCTTGAAGCTGGTCTGGAGGGCCCAGGAGCTTGTGAGGAACCGTAATGGATGCACTCGCTAGTATCAGCTTCTGAGAAGGAAATCTGGTACGGAAGTGCCTCAGCCTTCCTCTCTAGGACTCCATCGGAAAGACCCCTTGTCTTGGGCAAAGCCGCCTCTACTAGTTGGGGAAACTGGCAGCTTCAGCCTCAGCAAGAGCATCAGGGGCTGAGCAGGCGCCTCAGCGCGCGGCGTTCCCTTGGCAACAGGAGTTTCTTCCGGTCCTGAAGCCACGCCTCCTTGAGGGTCTTTGCGTTTCAGCCTTGGCGCCCTTGTTTCTGGGATCCAAGAGCTCCGGGGAAAGACGAGAGACCTGCCGAGGAACTCTATTAAGGAAAATGTGAGCACAGGTGAAAAGTCGAGCCTCCGATTTCTGCGAGGAGCTTCGCAGTCACAGATGAAGCATGATGGGAGTTGTAGGCGCGCAGAGCCTGCTGGGTAGCGTTTTACTTCCGCTTTGGCTGTGAGCTTTCTTTCTCCGGGCTGGTTTCCCGCTGCAGTTCCCGGGCTTCGTAGTAGATAGCGCTCTGAGTGGCACCCAGAAAACGCCTCCTCCTGGCACTACAGGACAAAGCTGTGTCCCCTGAGGCACAGATGTGTACCAGAGTTGTCCCACTGCCCATCGCACCCATCCTCCCCTGGGTTATTCCGACTGACTCCTAAGAAGTAAGACAGTAAGGCTGTTAATGTGGTCAGAGAGAGGAGAGAAATTTGTAAAAAAAAAAAAAAAAAGTAGTATAGTTACTGTCAATAGCGTGTTTTTTTTTTTTTTTTTTCCTTTTAGGCTAGGGAAAATAAAAAGTAAAAGACATTATTTAGCAAAGGAAGTTAGCTTGTACTCCTGCTTCTTAGCTCTCTGGTCTCCTGGAGTGATTTCCACCAGGTCTAATCTTTTGTGATTAGATTATGGTCCCCAGAAATCTAATCCACCGTATTTAAAAGTTGGCCACTTTCTAAAATTGCACTTGTGTATTATTGTAGTAGAAACTAATGATCCTCAAAATATGTACACGTATACTTCCCCCCACATTTCCCCCACAGTTCACACTGGTAGTCATTTTAAAGATGTAGGATTTTTTTTTTTTTTTTTTTTTGCCAGCCTTTCAGTCTATCTAGTCCCATCAGCCTCACCTCTCCATGAATGGCTTTCATGATTTAAATGTTCTTTAAAGAAGTTTCATCTCTTCATTTCCCTCATTAACCATGAGTATGGGATTTTATTTTTCCTTTTCTACTAATTAGTGTTATGTTTATTATTCTACCTGTTCTTTGGCCTATCAATTAATTTGGCCTATTTAAATGGACTATAAGGGTGAAAAAAGAAATTCTATCAATATAATGGTGGTGGGGAGGATTGTACACATATTATGATGGGGGCTTTTTTATTTGTTGATTTTGGAAATTTGCAAATGTAGCTGTTTTTACAGTGAAGGAAGTGTTCTGGGCTGTGACTCTGCTGCAAGCAAAAACTAACAAAAATCCTGTAGTTGCATATGTAAAAGTATTAACATATGAGTGTTCTTGTAGAAAACATTCTATGAAATGTACTATGTTTTGTGGTGTCTCCTTAGGCCAGTTAACCCTTCTCTATGCTTCATCTTCCTCATCATCAAAAACATACTATTTTATCTACTGTTTCTGAGGATTAAAGAGATAACAGAAGTATAACTGTTTGACACATAGGTGTTCAAAACATTTTCCTGCCTTCCTTTGTTCTGAAATTTTTTACTTGACCCAATTATGAAATATCATGGTCCTTTAATTTCTGGCCCTGAGTGCATTTACTGGTAGGTATTGATCAATTTTCTTTGTTTCTGAGTATTGTACTCACTTTAATAAGAGATGGAAGCTATTTGCTGGTAGACAGACTTCAACAATTTTGTTTTGTTTCCCCTCAGTTAAGAAAAAATCGAGTGTTCTAGAAAACTTTCATGGATAGATCTTACTTTTCTTATTTAGGTTGAGTTCATGTTTTTACATAGTACAAAACATTGGGTGAGAACTACAAATGTAACAGGCAGATTGAGCACCAACTTTACAGTAGACTTAGGCAGATAGATATTTCTTAACAAGAAAAGGTAAACAAAAAGATAATTGTTATTATTATTAGAGATGAAATAATTGTTGTCATGAAACAAACAATTTACCCAATTTGGAAAATGTCTGTTTTGAAAATGCCAACCTAATAAAAATGACAAATATTTAATATGATTGAGTTTGTTGTTTTTGTTCTTTGCCAACTGAAAATAATCTGAGTGTTGAGCACACTTAGAGGCTCAACATAAAATTGTTCCATTCAATTTAAGAAGTTAGTTTGAGAGTAACAAGCTTTAAAAATGGTATGTAATTTTCTTAAAACTACATAATATATATGTGCAAGAGAAAAGAGTTCTAGATTGTTTTTTGGCCAGTTTTAATTTCATACTGGGTTTTGGAACTGTATCAAAATTTGGAACTGTAGAAGATACATTGAATATAACACTATTCTGATTAATTCTTGATATTTTTAACATTTTTTTACCAGCAACTTTTAAAAGAATATAGAAAATCTCTGGTTTATAATTTATTGGAAGTTTTTGGAACAAACATTGATGGTCTAGAGCTGTACTTGAACAACGAGATGTTCTGTGTCTTTTGTTATCTGCAATTTGCGTACAGTAGTACCTCTGCAATAAAAAACTTTAATTCACTTGAATCTCAGAAAATATTTTGCTAGTGTAAAGTCACTAAAAATATGTATAATTTATTATGATTCATGTGGATTTATGTGTAGACAATAATGACATTATTAATTACTACAGCTATGATTTTGCATTCAGAATTACTAAAGTAGCTAAAGAATATCTACATTTCATAAACTAAAAATAAATTACATTAGGAATACATCAATACAAAAACATCACAAATTCAACCACCAGAACTGTAACTTTTATTTGCTAATATATTTTAATAAACAGGCTTACTCCATCTGTAAGACCCTGATAATTCCTCTTAGGAAATCATAGAAAAATAAAATACAATAATTATTAATTTGTACTTTGTACAAAAATCTTATGTTGCTCAGCAGGTAGTTTTGCTAAACATCATATTCTTTCAGCAAATAGATGACATGTAATGCAATTCACCACAAACAATCTCTCATGTTGAGAGCTGAGCATTCTATAACACTATTAACTTGTAAGCATGCCAGCACATGAAAATTTACATGGAACATCATAATATTATAGTAGATTTTTGTAAGATGAAAACAATACCACATTCAAATAAATTTGAACTACTTTACTGGTATAGCAAAGTAGATAATAGGTAGGATTGCAGTTCAATTAACACTGTTATACTGTGTTTATCTCTACCATATTGTGATTACAACCAGAAAAGAGAACATAGGCTGTGTAAGGATCCTGAGTGAAAGGCATATATTGAAGCTCTAAAAGGTGATAAAATACCAATATTGAAAAATAATAATGTAGTGCTGCGCTTCCTTATTTTCATAAATAGATCTTCCCCTCCTTTTGTAAAAGTAGATGAGTATAGTGCTAAATCCTTAATTAATGATAAATAGCTTTATGTCACTTTAAGAGATACTTTGAAAGAATCACATAGGAAGGAAAAAATATTTTCAGCTGCAGTTTCCCCCTTAGTCAAATATAGCTCTATGAAGGATTAAATGTCTCAACCTAGACTGATGTTACTTGAGTATTTTATAGAAAAATGCTATTTAGTATTAAGCTTTAGGATTTGTGCTACAAAGGTGTTTAGAACTATTATTTTGAGTGCACTGCAACTGTTGATATCATCTACCATTTAAAATTTGATATGGCCATTTAAATATCTAAAGTGTTTAATCAAATACACATTTATATGTACACATATTATCTTTATATTTTTGGCTATGCTAGAACAGCAATAAATTAGAGAACAATCTTATTCCATCATTCACAATCTAATTTCACATCAAATCCAAAGAATAAATATCATTAAATTCCAATACATTGAATTTCATACAGCCTATCCAGAAATAAATCACCAAGCACTATTAAAAGATCACATCCTTATGTTAGAATAGGGAGGGAAGCATTGAACGAAACAACCATCTTGCCCACATGTTTCTCCCAAATTATAGAAACTATTTATGTTTTCCATATGAAACAAAAATAATAATTTTTAACTAAAGATTAGTTCTCACTTGTCTTTATTTATTTTTAAAAATTCAGATGAGCGTTCAAAACCTCCAAAATAGTATTCAGGAAAATTGACAGGTTTAGTATACAATATACATCTTTCAGGATTTAGCTAATTTCAATTTTATAGGCCCCAGATTATAATGAATGGCTAAAAATTATTTCTGCCATTTACTCTGTAATAGACAAAAAAACATGAGAAGTATCTATAGCATTTAAGAAGTCCTCAATCACTTGACTCTTATCAAGAGTCCTTGGAAAGCAAAAGTTTTAGGTCTTCCAATAAAATTACTTATATTTAATAAAGATGCTTTGAAATATTTTCTAGGTTTTTTTCTATCCTGTATTAACATACAAATACCCATTAACTATGTCTGTATGTATATATAACATACATCTATATTCACTTTCCTGTTCTGCAACTATTTATGTATCTCTCTTCCAGTCTATACTCCCTTACCACCCCCATATTGACTTTTCTTTGTAAAATTAAACTACTCACATAGTAACATCTTTACCTCGTCACCACAAATCTACTAATCTACCTGCATATTACAAAGTCAGCTTTCCCTCTTATTGGAGTTTTATGTCCCTGCTCCTATAAAAAACTAACCTCCCTACTTGTGCTCTGAATTCTAACCCCTCCAGACCTTTGCCATAATTATCTTTTCTCTTGCATTATCAGTTTTCTCTTGTCTGCCAAAGTACTCTCGTTAGTATATAAATATGCTTTAGTATCCTTTATGTAAATAAAAGAACAAAAAATCTCCACAGAGCTCTCTTGACCCTACATCTCCCTTCACCTACTGCCTTAGCTCCTTTCACTTGCTCCCTTTACAACACAACATTTTGATAGAATTGTTTATAGATTCTGAGTCTGCTTTTTACTTATCTCTCTTCTTAATCTACTTCAGTCAGGCTTTGATTTCATGGTTTCACAGAAACTGCCCTTTTTGAGGTCTTGAGAGAGACTGCTCTTGTCAATGTTGCCAAATCAAAGGGCAATTTCATTGTTCTAATCCTGATTTTG